CCCCCAAAACCCCAAAACCCCAAAACCCCAAAACCCCACTTTATCTCAGATTATTGTCTTTCTAGCAAATAATATATAAAATGGGTGCATGAGCTAGTGGTATGGATGATACGAAATCGGGATCATCCGATCAGCAAAAAAGAAACAACAAGCTTAAAAAGCCAAATAAGCTATTAAAAACCATGACGATTGGTAGAAAAGAGAAACCCTCACAGCAATCAACCACAAGAGCGATGGTAGCTTCGGCTGATAGTGGACAAATAATGGAAAACAAGAGAGAATCTATTGTCAATAATCCTGCAGCCTTAAAAATTCTTAAGAATATCTGCCCAGACGAATCATTAAACACTTTAATCAAGCCTAAGAGAAAAACTCGTAGCGAGGAACTCCATTTTCCTATATCTCCTTGCTTCGGAAGTCCTAAAAAGAAAAGAAAAATTAGGAATAGAATTGAGTCTATTCCGAACGTGGATCCAAGGCCAGAAGAAAAAGATGAAACAGAAAGTTCCACTCGAGCTAGTATCCAGTCAGAGAGGAGGTCTGCGATATGAACGTCCATAAACCTTCTTGACACCTTATACAACAGTTTCGAAGAGTAAGCATCTAGAGTCGCAATCATTGTCTCAAGCCATCTATATAACTCTATCAGCCTGTGTCTAGGCTTCTCCGAATTAGTATTGACAAAAGTACGATAGTCCAATTTTTAAGGCTCAGATTTCATAGGTTGGAGAAATTCCTACTCTGATCGGATATAGCCAATCAGCTCTGATTAACACCCAAACCTCGTATTAGACACTATTTCAGCTGTTACTTATTGCATCCATGTACCCGTTAACAAATATCCTGGTTGGAGGAAATTGGATAGGAGATATTCCTTGTCATGAATGGTTAATAATCTCAAATAAACATACTCATTTCGGAGTTTTCCCAAAATTTTACTTGTTATAAATCTGAAAGCAAATTCTTAAATTTTTGATAAGAATAAAAGTATGACATTTAAAGGAAACATTAAAATTCACCGAAATAGAGCCAATTTCAAATACCAAAGGATTTTATAATTGCCTGGAGAAAATTTAAAAGTGCTTTGTAGAATCCCATTAGTCCAACAAGTTTGCAGTTTTTCAAGAAAACTGTGTGACTTTCTTTGAACTTTCTCCAAAATTGAACCCCATCTCAGCTCCAGTCTTATAACTTGATATAGAATTCTCTTGGATCAGTGAAAATAAGTGAAAAATGAGCATCGATTTGAAGATATGCTTCGAAATTATTTGTATGAACAAGGAAACTTTGCAGCCCAGCCTTGCCAAGGACCCCTACACAGGTGCTAATTGTTTACATTATTGATGCATTCTTGGACATAGAGAGCTATGACAAAAGTTATTGAGTATTGAGCCAAGCCTGGCTGACTCCAAGGATGATGATGGAAACACTCCCTTGCACTATCTCTGCCTCAACTCAGTCAGCAGCTTCTCTGAGATGAAAGATATCTGGAAATGCCTCAAAAAGAGCGGAGCTAATGAGCATGCCAAGAATTCTGAGGGAAAAACTTGAATAAAGCTTATAAAAGATAGAATAAAGCTATCCAATCCTTATGATGATTTAGCTAAATGGAACAAACTTATAGAACAATCGTTGGTCCACTCTTATAAATAAAATCGCATAATAGCCCTATAAGATATATGTTGGAGAAATAGAGAAGTGATGAAGGGTTTCTAATCATTGGTCGAAACTCGTGATGTAGTATCGCAACTAATCCACGAATGGTTGATTTCAGATATTTATATGGTTAAAAATGTCATAAGAGGTTTCAAGAATTGTACTTATAACTCAACCGAGCTTAAGAGTTTCACGAAATGAAGATTATAGAGAGAGGTCTTTTCGAAGAATCTTTCGTCTTTATCCTACCTCGTCGACACTTTGGGACCATTTCTCTTGAATCATAATCTTGCCAAAAATCTACCAATTTTTCTCAAAGACTTTTTCTGAGCCAAAAGCTCGCTTCTCTATCAAGACTCATTATGCTAATACTTCATCGCAAACAACAAGTACGAATATTAAATAGTGGTTCTCCAACTACATATTATAATTTATGTTATTAATAAACTATTTTCCTGAGACTCAACTATCAACTCTCCTGAAGGGGTTTTGGGGTTTTGGGGTTTTGGGGTTTTGGGGTTTTGGGG